GGGGAGGGGAGGAAGACACAATGCTTAAGAGGCACTATGCTTCTGTCAAAGGTGATAGAAAAATTTGGGAGCAGATAAGGGTGATGGTGGAACATGATGAACATGTCACTAAACTGTACATGTGAAGATGGTTGAAATGGCAAATGCTTTGTAACCTATATATTTACAATAAAATTAAACAATTCTTCTGATAATTATACTGAACTAAAAGACCTTGAGATACAGGGTCCAGTATCTATTGCACTGATGAAGTCAAGAGATCATGATAATGACAATGATAATGGCAAGAAAGGGAAGAATTGGAGAGATGTTGTTTAAAAAAGGTATTTTGTTCCCAAAATCCCAGTATGAAATTTAAAGGTCTCATTCCTCCACATTACACATTGTAGTTTATTATATCTCCCCTATTCCTTAAGACTTAATGGGATTTTCTTCATATTTATAGAAGACCTACTTTGTACCTGTGACTATCCTGTCACAAAAAACTCAAAACAAGCCCTAATTTATGTATCCTCTATTTTTCACTGGAGTAACATGGGGAAGAAGTGTGAATTAAACCTATAAATTGGGTTTAAAATGTGTGGAAGAAAAAGTAATTGTGAGGACAGTATTTTTTTTAAATTTACTAGTTAAAATAATCATGTAATGTATTACCATATCTCAAACTGACATTTTCATAGCCTTTGAAAAATTGCACTTCTAGTAAAATTGTTAAAATATTTTGTCTGCTAAACACTTCCACACATTTTTTGTGAAACGTATTTGCCAAGTACTTGAAACAATTATATTGTGCAAAGATGCCTACGTGTGCAGTAGGAAAAGGCATGTAGCAAGTTACTGGCATTAAGAAAATTGTAATCTTTCTCTAGCCAAGAAGTCATGAGCTTCAAGACCGCTAATTCAGTGTTGTATTAAGTCTGACTCCATTTTTTGATGTTTGACTACTTATAGCTTTTAAACCTCATCTCTCTTTCCCTTCTGCCTACATCTAGGCAATTTAAGAAAAAAAAAAAAAAAAAAAGCCCAAGTGGTCCTTTCCTTGTCAGTGGCAAAAAGTTCAAACCACACAAAGTACATTCATATCACCCCACCCCGTCAACCATAAAACTCCAAGCCATTTTGGGAAGCCTGCCTTGCTCTCAGTGTGTAATAAACATTCTCATGCCCCTTTGTTGTGTGGCATTATCAATCTCAACATCCAAACCAAATTTTGGCTGTGGGTCTGTTAATAGGTTGAATTGTGTGACCCAAAAAGATGTGTTCAATTCTTAACCCACGGTACCTGTGAACGTGACCTTACTTGGAAAGACGGTCACCACAGATGCAACTAGTTAATATGAGATTATTAGGATGGGCCTTGATCTTGTGTATCCTTACAAAAGACACAATGAGAACACTTTGTGAATATGAACATACAGAGATTTGGAATGACGCATGTAAAAACCAAGAAGTTCGAAGGCCAAAATTAGCAGCTTAGGAGTCACTGAACAGACTTTCCCTCAGAGTCCTCCGGAAGGAACCAATCCAGCCAACACACCACGATTTCAAACTTCTAGCTTCCAGATTGAGAATTTGTTGTTTTAAACCACCGTTTGTGGTGTTTTCTTATGGCAGCCCAAGGAATCGAAGAGTTCATCTTGTTATCCCACATTGGCCACCAGGGGAATTTAATGAAAAAATGGAGAAGTAAGTTTGTAAACGTCTGTATTCAAAACAAAACAAAAAAAAATCCCATTATCTTCTTGAGGGAAAACTGATGAACACAATCTATTCATATTATTTCATTGAGTGCTCCAAGGAGAAAAAATATTGTTATTCTGGATATTTTATTCCTAACATCTTTCATATACTTAATATATTTTTCATCTCATGTAAATCAAAGCCAATGCAAGCCATGGGTTTTATTTAGACACAATAAACAGCATGTAGAAATATAATCATATGATAAATATCCATGAATAATGAGGGACGTTTTAGGAAGAATTGCCCTGCTATGGAATTTGCATTATATCCACATAAATATCCAGAGGCAAAGTGTGGAGAGAATAACTCAAGTGCAAATTTTGAAAATATATTCCCAGAATTGTATATTGTATGATTTCACCAAGGAAGTAATTATTATATATGCCATTTCAACCTTGAGAGTCTAATGGTGCACTGTGCATTGTTAGTGTCTGTTCCAATATACCCTACTGAGGTAAGATATGACTATGTTGGTAAAAGAAACATAATCCATTCAGTGTTATAAAAAATGATTACATTTTATTAAACGTGAGACCTATATGTTCTGAATAAAACAGTACCAAAATGCAATGCCACTGGTTAAACGTGAATCCTGCACATGCAGTGTTCTGGTTCTTTTGATTAAACTTTCCTCTCTGTAACTGTTCTCTCTTCAGTTTCCAAGAAAAACATTTTTTCATTAACCTTTGCTATTCAACAACTACTAAAATTCAAAAGAATTCAAAATTCATTTCCTCTCCATTATTTCTACACATACAGCAAATATCCATGAATAGTAAAGGAGATTTTAGGAAGTCAGAGTAACAAATTGCCTTGCTATGAAATTTGCATTATATTCACATAAATATCCAGAGGCAAAATGCAGAATAGCTCAAGTGCAAATTGTGTATATTCCCAGAATTGTATATTGTATGATTTCATCATAGAAAATAATTGTTGTACATGCCATTTCAACCTTGAAATGTTGTACATAGGGTTGCTGAGTCAGAATCAACTCGATGGCACCTAACATTTCTACCACATAAGCAGTTCTTAGTAACCTATCACTCTCCTCCCACCAAAATCTGTTTCTCAATGTCCTGGTCTGCTGTTTGTCAGCTGGTAGAGCAATTCTTTCCCATAATCCAAAGTAGCCCTCTAGTGGTGTTCTTGAACACATTAATCATGATGACATAAATAATGACTTTTCATCTATTGTCCACCCCATCCCATACTCTCATACAAATTTTCACCATATCGTATCTTAAAATCCAGTATCCTTCTTCTTCCAGGGAATATAGATATGAATTTAATCTAATGAAATTAGGCCCTTTCACATCATTGATCCCTTCCCAAAGAGCATCATGGTGACACATGAAAGGTCAGTAGTGAAGGCATATCAACCGATATCAAACCTCAGGTTGAAAGTCATTAATGTAGTCTTTTTAGGAAACCACAAATAACTGAATAGAAATATCTTACAATAATAACCAGACCTTTCCACCATGTACTTCCTCCTTTGACACACAATTTCATGAATTTTAACAGATTTAGAAATTTAATTACTCTGCAGAATGTAACATCTGAGGTTGATTAATCTTTTGAGGACTAGAAACTTAGTTCACCCTAGTATGAATTGATATACATTCTATTGTGAGAATTGGTTAAATGATTCATCACATTACACTTGTGAGGTTTTTCTCCTTTATGAACTCTTGGTGAAGCCTGAGGTCAGACCACTGTTTAAAGACCTTGACAAACTCATTAATATTTGTAAAGCTTCTCTCTAGTCTGAATTCTCTCATTACCCCACAAGTGTGAATAGTCAAGAAAAGCCTACCACATTCACTGTATTTGTAACAGTTCTCTACAATATCAATTCTGTTGTTCCACATTGCCAGGACTTTGGATAAAAGCCATATCACACACATTATTTTCATGTAGTTTCTTTCAAAGATACACGATGTGACACACTTGCGCATCAGTAAGGATTCTATCCGGTATGAATTCTCTTATTTCCACAAGTTTTGATCTCTGGAAAAAAAGCCTGGGCACACGTTACATGTGTGGTTTCTTTCCAAGGTGTATATTCTGATGTCTAGTGAGTTGTAAGCTCCGGTTAAATGATTTACCACAGGCATTACATTTGAAAGGTTTTTCTCCAGTATGAATTCTCTCATGAGACCAAAGTTGAGAGCCTGTAAAAAAAGTCTGCCCACATTCATTACACTTGTAAGGTTTTTCTCCAGTATGAATTCTCAGATGATTTGCAAGTTGTGACTTCTGAATAAAACCCTTGCCACATACATTACATTTATATGGTTTCTCTCCGGTATGGATTCTCTGATGTGTATTGAGAGTTGAGCCAAGGTTAAAGGCTTTGCCACACTCATTACATTTGTAAGGTTTCTCTCCAGTATGAATTATCTCATGATACCAAAGTTGATAGTGTGTAAAAAACATCTGGCCACATTCATTACATTTGTATGGTTTCTCTCCAGTATGAATTCTCTGATGCTGCACAAGGCTCGAACTATGGATAAAATCCTTACCACACTCATTACATTTGTAAGGTTTCTCCCCAGTATGAACTCTCTGATGTCTCACAAGTTTTGATTTTTGGATAAAAGCCTTGCCACACACACTACACTTGTGTGGTTTCTCTCCAGTATGGACCCTCTGATGTCTAGTGAGGTGCTGGCCACAGGTAAAGGCTTTGCCACATTCATTACATCTGTAAGGTTTCTCTCCAGTATGAATTCTCTGATGTTTGACAAAGCTTGATCTATAAATAAAAGCCTTACCACATTCATTACATTTGTAAGGTTTCTCTCCAGTATGAATTCTCTGATGAATCACAAGGTGTGAATTTTGATTAAAGACCTTGCCACATACATGACATTTATATGGTTTTTCACCGGTATGGATTCTCTGATGTGTAGTGAGGTTTGGGCCACGGTTAAAAGCTTTCCCACATTCATTACATTTGTAAGGTTTCTCCCCAGTATGAAGTCTCTCATGATCCCAAAGTTGTGAACGTCTGATAAAAGCCTGGCCACACTCATTACATTTGAAAGGTTTCTCTCCCGTATGAATTCTCTGATGATCCACAAGGCTTGAATTATGTATAAAAGCCTTACCACATTCATTACATTTGTAAGGTTTCTCTGCAGTATGAGTTCTCAGATGAAATGCAATATTTGAATTTTGTGTAAAGACCTTGCCACATACATTACATTCATATGGTTTATCTCCGGTATGAATTCTCTGATGGTTAACAAGAGTTGACCTTTGGCTAAAAGCCTTCCCACATTCATTACAATTATAAGGTTTTTCTCTAATGTGTGTTTTCTGGTGTTGTGTAAGCAATGAAGGACGCATAAAAACCTCCCCATATTTATTACAAATGTTGGTTTTGACACTGGGAGAAAGTGTTTGAAGTGGTGAGACTGAAGAACCATTACTGACAGACTGCTCATCTTGATTAGATTCATACATTTTCTCCTCAGTCTGACAACTCTGTATTTCATCCAGATGTAACTGAAACCTTAATCCAATCGTATTTTCAAAACATTTCATATACTTGTTTCCCACATCTGTTTTATCATGATCTTTTCTACAAGTGAAATTCTTGTTAAGGGTCATAGTTACTCCTTTGTAATTGCTTTCAATATCTCCCCACTGACTCTCAAATTCAGGCACATCTTCCCTGACCTTCCTGAAGTCAAAGTCCTCAATGCCATTCATCATTGTTTTGAGTAATTCTCCTTTATTAATGTTCTCTTTTGCAGATAATATCTTATTCACCCATGTAGGAGAGACATCTAAAAAACATAAAGAAACAGAGGTTTCTTATTAACTGCCATTGGAAAACAAATATTTTATGTTGAAAGACACGTTACACCAAAAGTAATACTTATACTGAATAGTTATTAAACTTCTCAACCATTGTCTTCGAATGTTTAGGAACACAAAGAGAATAGAATTCTTCAATAAAGACAGAATGATTAAATGTTAAATTATTTTCAGAAAGCCTAGGTTCAAACCCTTCTGATCAAATAACTCACAATATGTAAAGTTATGTTAGCACTAAAAGAAGGGGGAATTTTGGGATCATCATCTTAAAGTACACACCAACTAGCAGTAGCCATATGGCTTTCTCATGTTTGAAGAGAAACAAACACTGCATATATTTACTGTATAATTACTGTGTACAAATAAATGCTAAAGCACACTATATGATGAGATGGTAAATAATGCAGAATAAACTTATCAAATGAGATAAATACATAGCAATTCAGTTATAAAATAAAAATAGCACTGATAAAATCAGGAAAATTATAATAAAATACCATTGTAAGAATAACAAAATATACTTCTGAATTGTTATTCTTGTTAGTTGTACCCACTATAAAACTATTTATACTCATGCAGTCAGCTTTGTGCAACATTAACAATTGGTGCATGGCAATTATATTCCACAACAGATACTGAAAAACCATCATCTGTAAATCATAATGGAAATTAATAAATAAAACATTCCTTTAACTCAATAAATCCAGCAAGTACATAATAATTAACCACAATTATACAAAATCACAGCCTGCGGAGTTATGAGGAATTATCCCTTAAGGACAAAGGAAAGAAATTCTGTTTAAGAAGGAGCACACAGTGTGAGCAAAGGAAAATGTGTCAAAAATTCCTCTTTTCAAATACCATGTTCAGGTGAACACATAATACTATAACGAGTAGGGATTGGCAGTCAGAAATCACTATAGGACAAAGAACTAAGTTTGGCCTTTTGTCTGTGGTTCCTGAAAATAGCCTGAGCAATTAAGGTACCTTTTATCTTTGTAAAACAGGCAGGCCACACTTAAACATGTGTTAAGTGAATTGGGATAACCCAATGCACTACCTTGACAGTAAGTCTCAGGAAGGGAAAAGGCAAGATGAGGCTTCCACTGCCCCACACCCTGAAGTAGGTTACCAGGTGGAAGTATATGTACAACCCACCTAACTAGGCCTACCTTGCCAGAGGGGGCAGGGAGAAGACAGGCACCCCCTTTTTAAGTCCATCACCCACAGGACAGAGTAGGGTGCAGAGGCAAGAGTTGTCATCTCCACCTGGACAGCTTTTCACCCAAGGGGAGCTGCTTGTCTTTTTGTATGCTGTTTCTTGTTCTAAGTAGCAAAAGCTACTTTCCATGTGCTAATGTGTTCAGGCTCTGATCAACAGGGCACCATATTCAGAGTAATCACGTTTAGTGATTCGTGTCCTTTTTTAATGTCCTCCTGGCTATCTAAAAATCAGGTACAAGCTGAGAAGATTTGGCCTGTTGCCTCATGATCACAATTATGATTTTGTGCCTACAGTTACATAACAGCCAATATATAGAACAACTCCCTGACTGTGGACTGCCCTTTAATTATCTAGCTCTTTGGCCAGAAAATACATGTAATACAGAATGTGTGCTTGGGAAGTTTATAATCTAAGGTCAAAGATAACATTGATATGGATCAAATTACAAAATAAAGACCCAAGATACAAAGCAGGCAAAGGTCAATGCCATAATAAATGTAACATAAGTTGATATACCTTATTTTAAGAAGGTGCCATTTGAGGCCTAACAATAAAACATGCACTTTCTAAGCCATCTAACAGCATTAACTTGTTTAAAAAATCCTTCAGGTAAATTATCACTACTTCATAATAGCAGGCCCACATAGGTTATCTATCTAACCCCACTTCATGCAGTGAGAGAAACAGGATTTGAACCATGGTCTGCAGGCTCAAACATGTTCTTAAGCTCTAAGCACCACTGTCCAGTCAGGCAGTATAGATTATAACAGGTCACAGCAAATCCCAAGAAATCAGAAAGAAATGCTTCAAGGGGCACAGAGGTCCTGAGTTATCTGATAGTGTTACTCAGTTATCCCCTCTGGATAATGACACGAGTCATCACTCCCTGAATGTGTTGATTTAGACAGTAACCACACTATGATGCTGTTCTAAGCCAGATGTCCTGTGGAAGAATAGTCCTTACACACAGTGTGTGCAGTGGAGGGGGTTGAGAGGGTTCTACAGCAACTGGGGTGCCCAGGGGTTCAAAATTAATATGCTGGACCCAAAACACTTGAAAGCGGAGACTCAGATACTTGTACACCAAAGTTCATTGCATAACTATTCATAATAGTCAAAAGGTGGAAACAGCCTAAATGTCCATCAATGGATGAATGGTTAAACAAATTGTGGTAAATACATATGATGGACTACTACTCAGCCACTAGGAGAAATGAAATCTTAATACATGCTACAGTATGGATGGAGCTTGAAGGCATTGTGCTAGGTGAAATAAATCAACCACAAAAGGACAATGTATGATCTCACTTATATAAAAAGAACAGGAAAATGATCAGGACCAAGGTTTCTTAGAGATTACCAGGGGCAAGAGGGAGGGGGAAAAAGGGAGTTATTGCTTATGGAGTATGAGTTTCAGTTTATGATTGATGGAAAAATCACAATGATTAAAGATATGGTTGCACAACCAATTAATGTAATCGCTGTCAATAAGTTGTACATCACTGAAAAATAAAATTGGCAAAACCTGTGTGATAGATATATTTATTACACCAACAACAACCACCAAGAGTAGCTGCTAAAGCTGCTTATGTACAACCAAATACCTCATGAGATTTGGTTCCTTGGTTTGGAGGATTAGGATCATTGTTTCATGGGACATCCCACTTAATTGGCCTAATAACATTGTTTACTGCTTCTGTTCTACCTCCTAGTTCGCTGCATAGTGCCTGGGGTCTTAGAAGCTTGTAAACAGCCATCCAAGGCACAACCATTGGTCTCTATTCACCTGGAGCAACAGACGAAGAAGGAGAGTCAGGAATATGGAATGTGTGGCTACCTGCCTCCATGAATAACTGCCTCCTTTGCCATGAGACCAGAACTGGATGGTGCCTGGCTACCATCACTGAACATTTTGATCAAAGATTCCACAGAAGAATCCTGATTAAAAGGAGAAAAATGTAAAACAGAATTTCAAATTCTCACAGATTCTAGACTTTCTGGAGCCATGGAGGGTGGATGAACTCCTGAAACTACTGCCCTGAGATAATCTTTAAATATTAAACAAAAAACATCCCCTGAAGTCATCTTAAAACCGAACAATAGTTTAGCTTAACTAGTAAGGAAGGTCTGCCTTGATTTAAGATCTACCGATATTGGATCAAACTGACAACAGCAACTCAAAAGATTAGATAAGAAACATAAAGAGCGGTGAGTTCATGTTAATGGGGGAGGAACAACTCAGAAAAGGAGGGTGAGAATGGCTCCATAACTGAGAGAATGTAATCAGTGTCACTGAATTGTACATGTAGAAATTGTTGAATTGGTGTTGTACTGCTGTGTATGTTTTCAACAACAAAAATAAATTACACCCACTCCTCATTAATCAACATGGTTAGGTTCCAAACACCAGGTTATTATGCAAAAATGAGCGTTACATGAAAATGGAGGTTTTTCTGTTTTCAGACCAGTCATTTGTTCGATTTATTTAGAAAACATGATCACAGAAATAATAAGCTAGGACTTACTAATGTGCTCATCACTGTGACAAGTTCACTTATGAATTATATCTCTGTGGAGAAGTGGGCTTGAAGGAGACAAAGCTGGATAAAGCCAGGCTGTGTGACTGGAGAGCCTGCAGCTTAACCACTTCACCTTCCTCCTGGGCTGGGTCAGAGCTTCCCTTACAGAGCTCCCTCCAGGGTTCCAACCACACCCCTGCAAGCCCTACATTCACGATCCCGAGCCTGCTCTGCCCTCCAAGCCTGGCAATTCACCGAGGCTCAGAGCTTCCTGCAAGGGTGCTGGGAGCCTGGCCACACACCCAGCCCCACCAAGGCAGAAGCTTCCGACCTAGTTCGGCTCACTCTGAAATGTCATTAAACTCGTACATATTTCTTCCAAACGTCCTCTCTGATGCTTCTTTCCTTTCTCCCTTTGCACTCCACAGCAACTTTGAGCTGCATGTCCTCAGCTCACATAGGAGCTGGGAACCCAGAACAGGCACCTGCTGGCTCACTGCTGTCTGCGCATCTGCCTGGAGGCCGTGGTCACGGAGGCCAGCCCTGCGTGACAGCTGGACATGGTGCCCCTGCCGGCAGGAGGGAGCAAAGGATGCAGGGCATTGTGGACCCAGCTTCCCAGAGGGCGGCTTGAGACCTTCCTCAAGGGAAGGGACACCCCACAGTCGTTGCCACCATGCCCACAGCCTCATTAACACACAAAATAGTCGGCAGTTTTTCACTACTGTCAAAACTGCAAAATGTCGAATAATTAGATAAGTCAATAAGCGAGGAGTAGGTGTATTTAAAAAATTAACATGCTGGGAAGGGACAGTGTAACTCCTCCTGACCAAGTACAATCTGAGGAAAGGCCAGGACTAGTATTCAGAAGGGCAAGAATGGAGGGCAGGAAGTAATGGGCAATGTGGGAGCAGAACTTGAGCTTACAAATCTATGCAAATATGACTGTGCCAGGACAGTTAAAATCTTAACTTTGGAAAACAAAGGGAACTGACTTAAGTGGTATAACAGTACAGAATAAAAGCTGGAATGTAACACACACAAATTTTCTGTACAATAATCCTGTGTGGAATGTACAGGGCTTATGATGAAAGCCTGTGAGCATCATTCAGCTACAACCCCCGGGATTTTGGAGATTTCCATTTGAGAGATAATTACTAGCTGGAAATTGGACTCTGAGACTGCCACTGTAACTAAAGGACATAAAATAATCTTGCAAGCTGAACTTTCCATATCTTGGGCCATGTCCGAGAAATGCTCTAATAGGGAGGGCAATGCCCAGAAGACTTCCATAAGATAGATATGGTTTATACAAGAACGTGCTCCCAGGGGAATGCAATTAGGTATAAACAAAGAGCATTTCTTCCCCTAGAGGGCTGACTTTGGAATCACCAGAGGAGTTGTCAGACCCTATTTCCACTTGGGTGGTACCCTAAAAACTGCTCTCAATTGACAAAGAGTTGCTTAGTTTACAGATGGCAGCTCCAAGGTAAACAGATTCCAGGTTGGAAGGCTACCGCTCTAAAGGAGGTAAAAATAAATCAGCTCAGTGGGCTGACTTGTATGCAATTTGCCCCTATATTTGAGTTTTTACTGGTGCATGGGCAGTGATCAATGGCCTGGCCATAGGGTCAGGCAAGTGGGCAATAGAAAACTGGCTTATTAAAGGGATGCCCGGATGGGACATGGCCCTATGGAGAACACTCTAGGAATTTGAGGGGTGCATTAAAGTAGGTTATATCAATGCCCACAAGAAGAACCCCCTTCCAGGAGGGAAATTTAATAGAAGTCGGCTAGTCAATAACCTGGTATGTCTACTTGAGGTGACCACCTGGGTCCATGAGATGAATGCAAATGGAGGAAGGTGCAACAATGCAGAGATGAACTGAACCTAGACATAGTTCTTGTACACTCTGAGGCACAAAATCCAAGTCAGAACTGTTCTGACTGCCAACAAGAGACAGACACTGCTGACAGTTATAGCGCAGATTCTCCTTGGGGAAGGGCCTGTACATAGCTGGCAAAACAAGTTGACATCAGTAGCTAGAGAGACTACAAACGGGTTCTAACAGGAACAGACATTTACTCTGGACTAGGCTTTGCTTATCCAGTGGAAGATGCAAATTTAACAAAACGGAACAAAAAGTTTCTGCATCAATGTAGACCCCCAAGTCGTTATTTCTTCAAACTAAAGAACACACTCTTATCCCCAGAGCAATGGTTTGACAGAGAATAGGAATGGGCAATGGAAATATTGGTTGTCTAAAACAGGGGGGTGAAAATACATGAAGCACTGGCTTACATGTTGTATGGTTTACGTTAATTTTACCCAAAGAATTTTCTCACTCTCCTTGGCTCCTGAAATGACTCTAAAATGACTCTAAAATCTTGAACTTCCCCAGATATTGATGTGTCTTTGGTGAAGTTTCCAGACCACACCTATGCTAGGTGTTTATGCTAATGAGGTATCTCCTGGGTGGGGGTCTGCCAGGCCAGAAAGACCTTCCACTTGATATTAGCTGACCTCAAGGAGTGGAGGGCATAATACAATCAATCGTGCCTATAATGAAGCCCCACCCAAAAAAAGGCTCTGTACACAAAAGCTCCATGGGCTTCCTGGTTGTTGAGACACATCGACACACGTGGGAGGGTAGTGAGTCCCTTTTTTGGGACATGGAAGCTCCATGTTGGGAGTCCGCCTAAGTCTCATCCTATGTGTCTATTTGTTTCCTTTTTACTATAGTGAAAATCATAAATATAGCACTTTCTGTGAATTCTGTGAGTCATTCTAGCAAATTATTGAACCCAAGGCAGTGATAGGAGACAGCAGGTTAGATGTGAGAGGGACTGGGGACCCTTGATTTTATGGCTAGTACCCTCAGGCTAGTACCCTGTGGGAGCAGAGGGAACCCTTGACTTTGTAGCCAAGTCAGAAGTGTCATGGGGACTCCCAAGCCTGTGGCGGGCATCTTTGGCAGTCTGGAGGACCATGTCCTTTAACTTGTGAGATCTGACCTACCTCTGGGTGGTTAGGGTCAAAGAAGAAGTGCTGCACATGCAGCTGGTGTCAGAACAGAAATGGAACTGAACTGGACTGACTTGATCCTTACAGTTTGGCATGAGAAGTGGGATTTGTTTGAATTCCAATATGTATCTTCACCAGTGTGCTCACACTCATTATGAAGGGGAAAGGGGAGGCAATGGAGAATATCCAGTGGATAGATTCCTCCTATTTTCTGGTGGAACTGGGGAAAAGGGGGCTGGGGGGAGATGCTGGTAAGATTCTTCCCCCCATTATTTCAACTTTTTTTTCCCCCCACATCACCTCAACTTTCCTTTCCCCCCACATCACCTAAACTTTCTTTTCTCCTACCTGATGCAGTGATTCCAGGGCAAGAGCTGTAACTGTGAGTAATGGAAGCAGGGGTGATGCATAAGCAGGAAACTGTAACTGTGAATGTGGACTGAAAGGAAGCACTTACTAGATTAGTATTACTATCGGCACTCTAGTCCAGTAGAGTGGTTAACCTAATGTCCCTTTCAACGGTGGAAAAGTTTGTGTGTAAATGGAGAGGAGAAATAGTAGCTGATGGCAAAGGAATGAATAAACAGATTATGCAATGAGGGAAACTCAAAAATTATATTAACACCTCAAAAGAGGCTTGGAGTAATAGATGGTATTGTCTCTTAGCTCAATTATACTTGAAAGGATGAAGCCACATATTGCTGAAACAACTCCAGCTTTTGGAACCTCAGAAGATAGAATGGAAGCCTGTAAGAAATGTGAGTGGCCTCCCCTGGGGAATGTTTTACTCATACGACATGATGATGGACTGGACTAATTGCTGATCACTGTTTGGGGTTCTAATAATATTCCAGTATCTTTTGATCCTTATTTTTCGGGTTATGGAGTAACACTAGCATTGTTGATGAGACTGTAATACTGATAATGTTAGTCAAGTGTCTTGGAAAACTGAATTAAAGCCTCCTGAGGATATAATATGACTGGCCTGAAGAAGAACTCGATCTAGATAACCAAACAAATAGCAGTAAATTAAGGGGGAAAGAGTGATGCTCCAAATGTTAGGCATATGAAGAACTATGCCCGAAGACCAAGGAGCTCTGGTGGTACAATGGTTAAAGCACTAATCAAAAGGTCAGTGGTTCGACTTTGGTGAGTGGTGTCTGGGGTCTTAAAAGCTAGCAGGCGGCCATCTAAGATGCATCAATTGGTCCCAACCCAACTGGAGCAAAGGAGAATGAAGGACACCAAAGACACAAGGAAAATATTAGCCAAGAAACAGAAAGGGCCACATAAACCAGAGACTCCATTAGCCTGAGACCAGAAGAACTAGATGGTGCCCAGCTACCACTACCAACCATTCTAATCAGGGACACAATAGATGGTCCTGGATAGAATGGGAGAAAATGGTAGAACAAAACTCTAATTTAAAAAAAAAACAGATTTACTGGACCACTGGAGACTAGAGGAACCCCGAGATTATCGCTGAGATACCCTTTAAATTTTGAACTGAAACTACCGTATTTTTACTGTTTACTATGTTTGTTTGCCAACTGCTCCCTCTCCCCACAAAATATTTTCTAAGTGCACTATGCTAATTTTTTTTATTAGCACATTTACAAAAATACCTCACTGGGGGAAGAGAGCAGTTGGCAAACCAAGGTAGAAGACGCGCGTTATTTGTGTAAACATACGGCACAATTGGAGGTCACCTTTCAGTTACAAAAAAGATTGGCTCATAAAATAAACAATATCATCCACGAGTCCTGTGCTTTTAAAAAAAATAAAAATAAATAATCATCTGTATGAGACCAAACGGTCAACATTTACCGTAAAGGACAGATGAGGTCAGGCGAACGAGGGAAGTAGTATTAATGGAAATGAAACAACCAGAACAGAAATATGGAGAATGTTGACACAATGTGGAAAATGTATATAAGAAACTGTTAAATGGGAACGTAACTTACTAAATAAACGTTTACCAAAAAATTAATAAAATATTTATTAAAAAAAAAAATTCAACTGACGAAATGATGAGTCTTTTCATAAGTTCTTACATCTGAGCTCTTACCTTCTTCACATTTTGACACAGTCCCACTTACCTGGGTATTTTGCTATTTTCTCCTTCCCCTCCAAAGTCCAGGGCTCTGTCCCTTGTTCCAAAACGGAGATTATATTCAGCTCAGAAACTGAGATGCCTGCTTATTTTAAAAAAAAAAAAAAAAGCATGATGTGCTCTAGCTTTTCCAGAGTAAGATCTAAGCTGTTAGTTCAACTAAGAGGAGAGAATATCATAGATGAGTCTAGAAAAATATTTCCAAACTTCATCCACTGACTGCCTCCTTCAGAATGCTTAGGGAATAGTTTAAATATGCACATATCTAGCTCTCTTCCATGGCGCTAGAACAGGCATTGTTTTGTTCTGTTGTACACAGGGTGGCTATAAGTCGGAACCATCTCAACAGCACCTAACAACAACAACAGCTCACTTCTAAGAACTACTGAAACAAAACTTCAGGAGAAAAACCAGAGAATACAGTATTTTAGAAGTTTGCCATTAGGTCTTTACTCAAGCTCTGAAACCACCACTGACGTAGGGTGAAGCAGGAAGATCACCTGAAGGGGAAGGTTAAAGTCTAGAAGCCACACAAGGAGGCTTTTTGTTTCTGAATCAACTTCAGTCTCTGCCTTATGAACAGGGATGTGAAATTCCAGCGAGGGCAAGAGCTTCCAACAGATTCACGAGGGAAAATGCCAAGACACATAAGGGAAGATCTCAACTTCTGGAAGATCTCAACTTCTAGAGGGAAGTTATACTCACCAAGGGAGACCAGATTCCTGTAGTTTTCCAACATCACATCCTTATACAAAGTCTTCTGAGCAGGGTCCAGGCATTCCCACTCCTCCTGAGAAAATTCTACAGCCACATCCCTGAATGTCAACAGTCCCTGTAATGAAAAATACATCTCAACAAGTACACATGGAGGGAGTTCTTCTCACAAAAAATGAGAGGAAAGAGGTATAAGAATCAATTTGGTTGATGTCAGTGTACTGACAAATCCACCGAAGACGACTTTGAGCAAGTTAAATGTCTCTAACTTTGTTTTATTGTAGTTTTCTATAAGAAAATATGAAATCCATTAAATCAATGTTGATTTTCATTTTTATGGATAATGAAAGAAATATACAAATGCTAGTCTACAGAGACTACAGGGTTGTCAATATAGAAGTGCTAGATATTGTGTTGTGAACACCAGATATTTAGTTTCTCAAATGAGCTACAGCAAGAGTATTGTCTTCGGGTATGAGCAAGTCCACAGTACTCTTAAAGAAAGGTCAGAATTAAAAAAATGTGATGATGATAATAATAGCAAAGACTAGAAACTTCTGGACATTTGCCATGTGCTAAACCCTGGTGAGGGAGCCCTGGTGGCACAGTGGTTAAGCGCTTGGCTGCTAACCAAAAGATCAATGGTTCAAACCCACCAGCCACTCCGTGGGACAAAGATGTAGCAATTTGCTTTTATAAAGATTACAGCCTTAGAAACCCTATGGGGCAGTTCTACTTTGTCCTATAGTGTCACTATGAGTTGAAATCAACTCAACAGCAATGGGTTTGAGTTTTTTTTGGTCAAGCCCTAGCGGCACAATGGTTACATGCTCAGCTGCTAACCAAAAGGTCAGCAGTTCAGACCCACCAGCTGCTCCATGGGAGGAAAGACCTGGCGCTCTGCTCCCATAAAGATTTACAGCCTAGGAAACACTATGGGGCAATTCTACTATCGTCATATAAGGTCACTATGTGTCGGAATTGACTCGATGGCACACAACAATAAGCATTATTCTAAAGGCTTGGTGTGTATTAACACATGTAACAGCAAAATAGTCCATCAGAGAGACATCTGTTCCCATCTTACAGAGGAGAAAATTATGTTACAATGACTAAAAAACTCACCTCAGGTCAAACAGTTAATAAATGACAGTGCCAGTACCTGAATACAGGTGGTCAGGCTTTAGAATTGAACCTAAAGAATCAAATAGTTGATTAATAGCTTCAGCGTTAAAAGTATGCTGACAGAACTGGAAACAGAAAACTTGAAACAAGTTAAACAACTCAGAACAGAACAAAAAATCATTAAAATACACACACACACTACAAACATGACCTGTTACTTATTAGTAGCAGTATTAACTTATTAACATTAGGGCATAGAAAAAACATAGAGTCACTATGAGTCGGAATCAACTCGATGGCAACAGGTTTGGTTACAGAAAAAACATAACAAGGTAAATAAGGCATATTTTCAAGGGTTAAAAAAATACAACTTATGAAATAATGAATCTTTTATAAAAGTATAGTCTTGCATATACAAGCATATATGCACACATACACACATATTCAAATTAACTGAAATAATACTAGTTATCTGTAAATGACAGTTTCTTTGGATAAACTTTTCATTATCATGTTTACCCATGTGCATTTCAGCACTTTTGGTGCAAAGACCACGTATAAATTGTACACAATTTAAATTTATTTGTAACATCATTCTATATTGGGCTATTAAAAGATCTGTATACCCCCAAAACTATAACCCTAAGATAATATATTTAAACCTTAAACCAAAAATATCCCCTGAAGTCTTCTTAAATCAAACAACAGTTTAGCTTAACAAGTAAAGAATGTCTGCCTTGAGCATTGAACTCTTTTAAGATCTATCTATACGGGATCAAATTGACAATGGCAACTCAAAAGGCTAGATAGGAACCTTAGGGGGCAGTGAGATTATGTTAATGGTGGAGGAACAACTCAGAAACGGAGGGTGAGAATGGTTGCACAACTCAATTATCAATGTCACAGAAATGTACATGTAGAAACTGTTGAACTGGTGTATGTTTTTGCTGTGTATATTCTCAACAAGAAAATACTATAAATTATTTTTTAAAAATCTGTACAAAAATGAAAAAAAGTAGAAAACATTAACTACAATCTCCATTAAATTCATATATGCTACAATTTTACTCATTTGGATTTGGATGTTTAGCCATTAACAAAAGCCAAATGAGCTAATTTTACTAACAAAACAATTCTCAAGATTAGAAAATTAAATAGAAAATATATCTATCACAGCAGTAGATCCTTGAAGAAATAACTAGATAATTAAAAATCATGCTGAACGCGAAAATGCTAGTAAGCAAAAAAATTTCAGCAAACAACATGATTTCAGCTGGAACCACTGGAAGCTTTTCCATTAAAGGCAAGACACAGACAAGAGGGTAGGTCAAGGCTCCTGCCATTCACCAATGCACAGGATACCTAATGGGGCCAGGGAAATAGAGAAAAGAAAGGGGGGTGGGGGAAAGAGAAACAAAGAGCTGGAACTGTTCTTATTCACAGATGATGTGACTGCAACCTTGAAGAAGAATGTATTTTAACTATAAAAACTTATAACAATGTACCGAAAACAATCTTCTTTTTAGTTACAGTAAATAAATAAATAAACAAAAAAAACCACACATGCACAAGTCCCCACTTTCATTCCTTGCTACCCATTCACATTTCCAGACCTATAAAGAAATTAGAAGACTTTACTGAAGGCCACAACAAAGACATGCGCAAAGACTGACAAACCCAATTCTTATTGGAATACATGTGACATAAAGAACTCAGTGACTGCAGAAATGCAGGGGCAATCCACACTCAAAGGAAACACGTGGGATTTCAATAAAAATCTGCAATGTGTCAAAGAGCCAACAAAACTCTGAAAAGAACAAAATAAATGAAGGGGACTTTCAGACTACATATATTATCTGGAAAACCTACGGGGCAGTTCTCCTCTGTCCTATAGGGTTGCTACGAGTCAGAATCAAAACAGTAAAAGGTTTGAGGTTTTTTTTGTTTTTAATTCTCTAAGGAGCCCTGATAGCACAGTGGTTAAGCGCTCAGCTGCTAACTGAAAGGCTGGCAGTTCGAACCAACCAGCTGCTCCACAGGAAAAAGATGTGGCTGTGTGTTTCTGTAAAGATTGCAGCCTTGGAAATCCTATAGGGGAGTCCTACTCTGTCCTACAGGGTTGCTATGAATCGGAATCGACTTGACGGCAATGGTTTTTTGTTGTTTTTTTTTTTAATTTGGAACTTTAAAATTAATGAAATAAAATAGCTACAGCACGATATACACAAACGCTACAAAATTAGAGATATAAACAATGAAACATTAAAACTAAATGGAACATAATATTTTGTAATCGGGCAATAGGTAAGGCCTTCCAAAGCAAGGTAAACAAGGAAAGACTATAAAGGAAAAATGATTCACGCTTCACTGTAAAAATACTACAAATGAAAATAAATACCACAGAATATAGGTGTGTCCACAGAGTTGATTCCGACTCATACAAATCCTATAGGACACAATAGAACTGCCCATATGGTTTCTAAGACTATAAGTCTTTACGGGCACAGATCACCAGGTCTTTTCTCCCATGGAGCCGCTGGTGGGTTTGAACCACTGACCTTTTGGCTAGCAGCCGAATGCTTAACCATTGCATTGACATATACATACATACACATACTGCAGTGCAATGAATCACTTTTGTGTGGCCTTTCTCGACATGGTCCTCTAACTCCCACCCAAGTGAATGGGCAGGACTGTACAGACAGGGTAATTTTAGCCCACCAAGGTGACTGGTCAGTTCTGCCATTCCAGTTGGGTTGAAGTGAGCCATCCCAGAGGCAGGAAAGAGAGGATCCCACCACCACCACCCAGGAAGAACAACCAGGAGCACAGAGCGTGTCCTTTGGACCCAGGATCCCTGTGCTGAGAAGCTCCTGGAACCAGGAGACAGAGAGAGACAGCTCTCGATAAGCGGTGCCAAAGAAACGACGGCAGGTGGCCCAGTGGGCTTCCTGGCCCATGGAGTGAGAAAGCTAAGTGCCTTTGGGCAGGAGACTTACTGGAAGAGTAGAGCCTCTAGGCACTTATTGGCAGAGGCTAAAAGAGCTTTGTAACACTTGCCCAAGCAGGGCAGAGGCCGAGGGCCAGAGAGGCGTGACTGTGAACATGGCTGAGAAGAGGTTGTCCTAATGGAAGAACTGTATCCTGAACCTGAATTGTAACCTATTACAATCCTTAATAAACCCCATAATCATGAGTATTGTCTGTGAGTTCTGTGTGGCCATTGCAATGAGTTATCAAAACCAGCAGAGAAATAGAGAGTGCCATGGGAGGGACAGCTGGTGTCAGAACTGGTAAAGATGGCAGAGAGAAGAGGGATGTCTGACCTCTACCTTATAGGAATCAGCCTTGTGCTGTTGATCTTGATTCTCCTTTCCCCTTTTGAGATTACACGAGATAAGACACGGCCCCCACACCATTTTTTTTACAGAGTAACTAGAAACAGTGCTCATAGACAGCCCCTGTGACATTCTTTATAACAGGGAAAAACTGTAAAGGACTCATGTGTCTTCCTTCTGAGAATGCTCTATTGAGGATTTAAAAGAGCAAGCTAGCTCTACCCTAGTGGTGCAGTGGTTAAATGTTTAGCTGCTAACCGAAAGGTCACTGGTTTGAACCTACCAGTGGCTCCACAGGAGAAAGATGTGGCAGTCTGCTTCAGTAAAGATTACAGTCTTAGAAACCCTATGGGACAATTCTACTGTGTCCTATAAGGTCGCTATGGGTTGGTATCGACTAGACAGCAACATTTACTAACATGAAAACAACTCCAAGACATATAGTGTTTCAATTGTCAAAAGTTGAAAGATAACTGTTATGGTTTGAACTGTGTCCCCTAAAAATATGTGTTGTAAATCCTAACCCCTATATCTGTAGTTACAACCCCATTGGGAATGGGTTTTCTTTGTTATATTAATGGGACAGTACTGTTTTAGGGTGTGTCTTAAATCAATCTCTTTTGAAACATAAAAGAGACTAAACAAGCAAGCAAGC